CTCATCAGATGGATATACAAATGCAGATATAAATGATGGTAAAACTACGCCTTAAGACTCTTTTTCAAAGAAAAACCATGCATATTCAGCTATTATCGCGAGTATTCAGGCGTACAGTTTTTAAAAAAAAAAAACAAACACAGTTAATTGACAAGAACCTTCTTACCAAATAGATGACCGTTAACTACTGCAGAAGTATGCCAAAAGTTTGGAGTCATTCGAGTCTGAACACGCTTCCAGTGAGCTCTTACGTTATAACTACCGGTACAATTAAGTTCCAAAATCCATAGATCACCGAGGACAGAGCCATCGTTGGCACAACCACCAAACAATACCATGGCCGACGGAGCAATCAGATTTAAAGAACTCCAGGATCGACCAACTGGGCGTTCAGGTCCAATCACAAGACTAATTTGAAAAACGAAATACCACAGAAAAACTTTCAAGACTCATCTTGAAGTAAAGATAACAAATTTGACCTTACTATTCATGTCAAAAATATTTCAAAAGAAAGCTTTCTGGGAAACCATTGATACGAAAGTAACGCATTCAAAAAAACTAACATTTCAGTAAAAATGAGCGTGTCCATGTCAAGCAGATAAAGGTCATTTAGACGAAAGTCTCGATGTCGTCCACCAAAAATTATAGTACAGGTAAGGTCAGCAATATACACAGCGCTTGAGCAAGCACGGGGAGATGGAACAGACCCCGATACGCTGGAAGAAATCCAGAGCGGTGAACCTGGTTACTGAACATGACCGAATGCCATGTGTGGGTTAATCGGTTTGAGAATAACTAGAAAATAAAAAAATAAACCAAAAATCTTTACTCCGCTATTGACCACTTCCCGTCACGTTCTGGGTCAAAAACCAGCAACTGATTATTCCATGCAAACTCATTGTCTAAAACAAAATTCATCGAAAACTTGCTCTCCAAGTCCATAACGCCATACCCACCAAAGTAATAGCATCTAAATCAATTCCGCTAATTTATTAGTAGAGCTTTTTTTCTCATAGTTTTACACAAATTTTCAAAAATTTTCTTTAACAAACAAAAAAAATGCTCGAATACTCACGATACAACTGTTTCTCGCCAAACACCTCGGCACCTCCCAGTTTTTTAAATTCAAACACTAGTATGGAATAAGTGTTCAGTTTATGTAAGCAGCACTTAATTAATGTTTCATTATGTCAAATAACGCATTGAAAAAGTAAAGATTGCAGGTTCCTACCTATCTTTATGCACCCATCCAGTAACCTTATCTCTCGGGGTTGGCTTAATGCCTTCGGGGTTGGAATACTCATACCACTGCTCCTCTTCAAAATCTAACGTATACACACAGTTCAGGTGTCGTCCACGAGGAGTTACTGAAAATATATTTATCACAAGACGATACCCACAAGAAAGAACGAAAACGTTCACTATCCTGCTAATACCGAATAGGTTCTCCAAGACTGAAGCTTTGATACACACCCAAATTAAAATTTTTAGGAAAAAACAAAAGAAAAAGATTTGAAAAAGCAGTCAACACTTTTCTGTAATATTTTATTTTTTCTGACTACCCCTTCTCCTACCTAACTGATAGAAAAAATAACATGGAGTGCAGCTTTATCATGAAAGTACAACAATTTACAGTAACTAATGCCGCCACTAATGAACTTAAAAAGCTTACGGCAATATCCGCCAAAAATTATTAGCCGTTTTCTCCAAATAAGCGAACAAGCGCCAGAGGCACATATGGGAATATCACCTTTATGGATATATTTTGGAAACCTGCAAGAAGCAATATTTCCAGAGATAATGTATTAAAGTCTCGTCATTTCAGAAAAAGCATTCTAAACAATGAAATAAACGAGAATAAGTTCCCACCAGGTCAAAGGTGGACGATCCTCTTCTGGTAAACATAAAAAAGTGCTAGCAACAGCGACAGGAAAAATGTAGATAACTTCAGCTGGAACTGCAATGATAAGGTCTTCAGGAAATCTACTGTATCCACCCCATACAATCATAGAACCTTTGTAAACAACCATTGTATGACCAACAATTCGAGGTAGCTCAAATGGCTGCTATAAAATGTTACTCAAAAAATAGGTGGAATATAGGGGAAGCTCCTTAAATATTATCAGATCCAGCCAATATCGCTGTTTTACTTTTTTATGCTGAGAAAAGATTTAGATCAAAGATACTGCATTAGTAATAAAAACTTACATTCACATCGAGTCTTTCAACAACATCCATTAAAGATTATGGCAGTTTTGCAAAAACAAGCAGTAAACTTATAAACGCAGGAAGTGAGGCTTCGAAATACATAACCGCAGGGTCGAATGTTTGTAACAGAACCATACGCAATATTACAAACTTCAAGCAGCAGTATTAAAAATATGCAACAGTCTGCTTTTATAGATCACTCTCTAGCTTTTCTGTGGAACAAACCCAACCACTGTGACTACAGCAGGCTTCCCAACACAGTACATGTCATAAATAAATATTGTTCACTGGCTCATAATTCCTCAGCTTTGCCGATACATGTTGAAGAACAAACTAATTTTATTGACAGCACCACTTCCTGCACTCAGATACAACTGCGTAACTGCTGAAATTCGGCCTGGCTGTTCGCCGTACAGTTTCGCATCATTTGGCAATGTTTGTTACCTTAAGATTGCTTTTTGGCAATCCGCCAGGGCCCCGGTATTCTCTCCGTCTCGCAACTGTCATGGACACCGGCCAGAGCTAATTATCATCAAAATGTTACCACGTTTTGTAGTACAACTGGGGTCAAGTAAACGAAATATATCAGTGATGTGTGATAAAATATGAATGAAAATAACTTTTAGCCACGGAGGTTAGAGTATAGAAGTATTTTTTTAATCTAGAACTTGTTGCTGTTTTCAGTTACACATAGGCAGCTGAGACTTTTCCTTTGACGATCGTGCTTTACTGCTAGAGATGAAAAATACTTGCTGTTTATTAGTCAGAAAATGCGTTTGAAAAGCACGTGGCGCAGAGCTGCAAATTGCGAGGGGCTGCAATATTGCCGTATGTTCGGTTAGGATGCAGAAGTAGTTATCTGATGATAAGAGTACCGGGGGAGAGAGTAAGAAAGCCGTAAATGAGGAACGAAATGTAATAGCTCTTCTTTAACCTGTAGGTGATCATTTCAATTCTTTTATAGATTAATGTTCGTACATAAATATTGAAAACACGAAATGGTTGGTGTTGCGGGCTTATATAACTAATTAAGCGTTGTGTTTTCTTCCGTACTGTGGGTCCTACTGCAATGCGGAAATGATTGCGTCGAAACACTTTTGACTCTTGATGAGACTGTGGTTCGGCTACACTGTATTGCTGTCACAAAGCGAACTTCTTTAGTGAATTTGTTTTTCAGTGGTTATGGGAACAACTTTTTTGATTCTTTTTATAAAGCTTTTTGAATGTGATAGTAGACTGGAACGAAATTTTACTTTTTATTTTTCTGCAATAGACTGATTTTCTTTGAATTCAGTGAAACACAGAACAAAGAAAACTTGTTGCAACAGAAATTCTTTTTTTTATTTCTTGAAGTCGTTGAGACTATGTCATATTGGTATCACTTTAAGCAATCTATTTAATTAGTAAGAAAAAGTTTTTTAGTTAATGAAAATAAAAAAATTTTCTTCAGATTTAATGAATTCGTGGAAGTTTCTTATCATTTTAAACGCACGGTCGTAGACTAATTGCGATATTTCTGTACTCAGTGAAATGCAAGAAAGAAAGAATGTTGAGTTTATCTCTTTACTTTTTTGGCTACGGAGTCAGCACATTCGGAAACAGTAGGAGACAATCCTGCACCAAGTTTCTTCAATGTATTTCACTTTTTTAAAGCTCGCGGAGGAAAGCATTTTACTGGATAATGTAACCCCTTTCTACATGGCAATGGAAAGTGTCAGCGTAAAATAGACGTTCATTACTCAATTATTCCCATGAAAGGGATTGGTTTACGAGTGAACTTTTTTCTTGGAACTGCACTTAGGAGAAGTATTTTAAAAAAGTCATTGTTTACTCAGAAATAAGATAGTTCGGTGATTTGAGTTAAAGTGATTTCAAACTTGTTAAAGTAATAGTATAGAAAAGTATTTATAAGTGATCACTGTATACTCGCAAAAAATTGATTTGGAGTTTTTCAGTCTCTACGGTAAGTGTTTGATCTAATTGTTGCTGAACTTGAGTTTGAAGTCGAATTTTAACTGTTCACTGTTCTCTCTATCATGTATGAGTTGGCAACAATTTACTAATAAAGAAGTGGTTTAAATAAGTTTGCGGGAGCAACACAATTTTATTTTACTTTATTTACAGTTAAATGAGTGTGAAAAATGCAGAAAACTGATATAGTGAGTGCAGTGAAATTATAATAGCTACAGAACTGTAATTACAGCTTCCTCTGAACTTAATTTAAAAATACTTAGCATTTTAATTTGTTGCACGTCTTGGGTTTGCTTCGACATTAGGATTCAGCTTTCCATAATGTTCCCAATCAGAAACTCACTGGTACCAACGGTTGTTGCTGGGCGTGTTCGAGGAGTCGAGCCGAAGTGGTTTTGAACTCATTACAGCATGTACAGAGGAAAATGTTTCTCTACACGCAGTTCCTTCGTAATCACTGTATACACTCAAAAACTGATTTAGTAGTTCCCCATCCTTAGCAAAAAAAGTACGCCCGGGAATTTTGACTTGCAGATGCAAGTTTCTGCTTAAG